CAGCTAAAACTTCATGCTTTTATCCTTTTCCAAAGCTGGCTGGACAGAGACACAGACAGCAGCATTCAGACACACAGGTTATACAGTAACATTAAAACACAAAAAACACCAATTTAGCCCGCAGCCTCAGTGAGGTACTTAACTTGATATGTAGACATCATCTGATACTGCAGTTTGTCAGAGGGGATGATGCCATGGTGCCACAACATCTACAAAATAGTCATATTACACTCAGTGACAAAAAAATTAAGCATTCAGAGGTAATGGTCTGATTTAGATGTAATTTGGTACGTGTGCAGACCAGCGATGGGTATGCAAATGATTCGATTTGCAAGGAGCTGGCGTGTCTAGTCATCAGACACAGAGGATGTCTTGTAGACGCATTAGACAGCATTACCAGCACTTGATGGAGTTTGATAGGGGTCACATTGTGGGTTTGCATGAGGTTGGGTGGTTGTATCATGCAGGTGCCAGGCATGTGGGACATGCAGATGTCACAGTCGCCCGATGTTGGAACCAATGGGCACGTGAGGGCAGCCACACACGTCTTGAAGGTTCCGGTCACACAAGACAGACCACACCAAGGGAGGATCATCGTATTGTATGCCAAGCACTACAGAACCCCATGACACCGGCGCCTGCCATCCGGACATAGGTATTGGACTCTCTACAGCACCCCCTGCCATCCTGCACTATGGCATCAGGTTCACCGTCCCATGCATAGGCTGCCATTAACACCAACGCAGAGACGGCTTAGTTTTGAGTGGTATCATAACTGGGAGGCATGGACTGATGACGAGTGGCGTCGTACCATGTTCAGCGATGAATCTCAGTTCTGCATTACCATGGATGACCGCCATGTGTGCGTATGGCGGCACTGAGGGGAGAGGACCAATCATGCCAGTGTTGTGGTGAGACACAGTGGTGTTACTCCTGGCATCGTGGTGTGGGAAGCCATAGCGAATGACTTCAAGTAATCTCTGGTAGTGATTTGGGGGACCCTGATGGCACAGAGCTACATCAGTGACATCCTGCGTCTGCATGTCTTACCCCTCCTGAGACAGCACCCTGGTACAGTCTTTCAACAAGACAGCGCCCGTCCACACGGAATGTTTGTCTAAGGACTGCCTGTGTCATGCTGAGGTCCACCTATGGCCAGCCAGGTCTCCCGATCTTTCCCCAGTCGAACATGTGTGGGATCAGCTTGGACATCAGCTCAGACCCAGTGCCAATCTGCAGGATCTCGAGGGCCAGTTACAACAACTGTGGGCCAACTTGCCGGCGGAGAGGATACAACGGCTGTATGACTCCCTTCTGCACCATATCGCCGCATGTATCCAGGTCCAGGGGGGTGCCACATCCTACTGGGTGTCCATACTGCCAACTCTGTTTGATCTGTTATTGTAATTATTTCAATACAGTCACATGACCTTTCACCACATGCACATTTCCACCACTCTGTCTGGGTGCTTCACTTTTTTTGTCACTGAGCTGATATTTTTATATTAATGACTTATATATACATTAATTAATATTAACATGAACTTTCTAGATCAATAGCGGCCAAGGCATGCTGGGAGATGCAGTTGCTGACCACCAGTTCAGTCAGTGAAAGTACCTTTCATTGTGTATGAAGCACTCGTCCCAGCAAAGAGACACCGCAAGGGAACCCGGAAGTGCAGTAAGCGGGGAGACGTCTTGGTTAAACTAAAGGCTAATCCATCCAGACCAGCCACTGCATCCATCATACTGGTGAAAGTCTGCTCGATAGAAAATAAACTTCACCACATCAGACTGCAAAGAACTGCATATCGTGATATGAGATAATGCTGCGTTTTCATCTTAACGGAAACCTGGCTGAATGAAAACATCTCCATTCAGCAAATGGTCCTGGACTCTATCCACTCAGACAGAGACGCGGGCAAATCTGGAAAGACTTGTGGCGGTTGCCTGTGTGTTTACATCAACACAGAATGGTGTGGAAACACAGGTATGATCTCCAAACACTGTTCATCGCTGGCTGAGGCAGTGAAGTGCAGACCTTATTATTTGCTGCGTGAGTTCAGTGTCATTGTTATTGTGGCAGTGTACATTCCCTCCTGAGGCTAATGCTAAGGAAGCACTACATAAACTGTATGAGGCCATCAGTGAACTGCAATCTTAGGATTCACCTAAATACTGTACTGCCTAAACTCCACCAACATGTCGAGTTTCCAACCAAAGGTCTTAACATATTGGACTTGGTCTACACAAGTATCATATCCGCATACAGAGCGACTCCCCACCCCCACCTAGGACACTCTGATCACACTACAGTAAAGCTCACTCCAGCATACAGCCCACTGCTGAAGAGAGTAAGACCTGTAACAAAGCAGGTCAGAACGTGACCAGAGGGAGCTACTGAAGGCCTGCAGGACTTCGAGTGCACAGACTGGAGCATCTTCAGAGAAGCAGAAATCACTGACCAGCACACAGTCAGTAATCTGTACGCTGCAACAGCGACTGGTTACATCAACAAATGCACCGAGGATGTCACAGTCACCAAAACTGTCACAACACGTGCCAACCAGAAGCCATGGTTTACTGCGGAAGTTCATAAACTGCTGAAACACAGGATGCTACTTTCAGAGCAAATGATGACGTGGCACTCAGAGCAGGAAGAACCAATCTGTCCCGGGGCATCAAGTTGATGAACACCGAGCCAGCGTGGAAGACCACCCCCCCCAGCAGAGGATCAGGTGTTGTCCCTGTCTGCAGCCAGTGTGAGAAAGACTCTCACCAGGGTCAACCCACGCAAAGCTGCTGGACCTGACAACATACCTGATTGACTGGTCCAAAAAGACTGGTTGATGTCCTAACAGACATCTTCAACACCCCCCTGAGCCAGGCTGTCGTCCCACAGTGCTTCAAGGCTGCCACCATCAGACCTGTTCTGAAGAAGGCTACAGTTTCAGAGCTCAAAGACTGCTGCCCAGGAGCACTTACATGAATCATCATGAAGTCCTTTGAGCAGCTAGTCCTGAGCCACATCAAGAACCAGCCCCCGCCCCGCAACACACACTGGACCCACTGCAGTTCGCATACCGCACAAACCAGTCTTCAGACAGCATCATCTCACTCAAACTTCACCTGGCCCTGTCCCACCTAGAACACCCACGTGAGAATGCTGCTCATCAACTTCAGTTCAGCATTCAGCACCATCATCCCTCATTAGCTGATCAGTAAGGTGGACCTGCTCAGACTGAACATCCATCTGCAATTGGATTCTGGGCATCCTCACTGAGAGGCCCCAGACAGTCCAGATCGGCAACACCAGCTCCAACACCATCACGCTGAGCCCAGGCGCCCCCCCCCCCCAGGGATGTGTGTGAGTCCACTGCTCAACACACTGCTGACGTATTACTGTACCTCCAGTTCCAGCATGAACCATATTATCAAGTTTCCAGACGACACCACAGTAGTGGGTCACGTACAGAGTGGTGGTGTGACAGCTAGCAGCCTGGTACAAGGACAATAGTCTGTCTCTTAATGCTGGTAAGACAAAAGAGCTGATTGTTGACTTCAGAAGGACCAAGGCTGGCCACTCCCCTCTCTGCATCGACGGTGCCACAGTGGAGAGAGTGAAGAGCACCAAGTACCTGGGTGTTCACATCACAGAGGACCTCTCCTGGACCATCAACAGGTACCTCTCCTGGACCATCAACCCCAGTTCCCTGAAAAAAAGATCTCAGCAACGCCTCCATTTTCTGCGTTGACTGAAGAAAGCGCACCTCCCCAAACCCGTCCTCACCACCTTCTACAGAGGCACCATCGAGAGCCTTCTGACCAGCTGTATTACAGTCTGGTATGGAAACTGCCACACCTCAGACCATAAATCCCTCCAGAGNCTGTATGTAGGACTGGGCTTATTGGTGCTGCTGTTGATCATCATCATCATCACATGGAAAGTGTGGGACAAACACAGTGAGTATCTGCTGATTCAGACGCTGTATAAGTGACCTGAATGTCTGATCTGGACTATCTAGGGCCTCTCAGTGAGGACGCCCTGAATCCAATTGCAGATGGAGGTGTTCAGCACCCACACAGCACATGGAGAACATGCAGACTCCACACAGACAGAGCAGAAGCCAGATTCAAACCCCTACTGATCAGCAGCTGATCAGTAAGGTGGACCTGCTCAGACTGAACACCTCCATCTGCAATTGGATTCAGGGCGTCCTCACTGAGAGGCCCCAGACAGTCCAGATCATCAACACCAGCTCCGACACCATCACGCTGAGCCCAGGCGCCCCCCAGGGATGTGTGCTGAGCCTGCTGCTCTTCACATTGCTGATGCATGACTGCACCTGCAGTTCCAGCATGAACCATACTATCAAGTTTCCAGACGACACCACAGTAGTGGGTCACATCAGGGACAATGACACGTCATACAAAGTGGAGGTGTGACAGCTAGCAGCCTGGTACAAGGACAATAGTCTGTCTCTTAATGTTGGTAAGACAAAAGAGCTGATTGTTGACTTCAGAAGGGCCAAGGCTGGCCACTCCCCTCTCTGCATCGACGATGCCACAGTGGAGAGAGTGAAGAGCACCAAGTCACAGAGGACCTCTCCTGGACCATCAGTTCCCTGAAAAAAAGATCTCAGCAACGCCTCCATTTTCTGCGTTGACTGAAGAAAGCGCACCTCCCCAAACCCGTCCTCACCACCTTCTACAGAGGCACCATCGAGAGCATTCTGACCAGCTGTATTACAGTCTGGTATGGAAACTGCCACACCTCAGACCGTAAATCCCTCCAGAGGATTGTGCGGACAGTTGAGTGCATCATTGGTAGCTCTCTACCCAGCCTACAGGACATTTACACCCCCCCATTGCATCTGCATGGGCACCAGCATCGTGGCCGACTCCCACCATCCCTCCCACGGACTGTTCACCCCCCTTCCATCTGGAAGAAGATTCTGCAACATCAGGAGCAT